ACAATGGGCTCAGGTGTAGCAAGGATTGTGGGGCTGGCACAGGACCAGGCAGTGTTTCGTTCGGTTGTACACAGGGTCACTGTGAGTCAAAGGTGACTCGACAGCATCTAACAACAAATAATAATTAGTTGCCATCAAGTTGAATCTGACTTGTGACCCATGTGCGCCAGAGTACAATGGACTCCATAAGGTCTTTTTTACTAAAATTGTATTGTGTTTTCAGTGAAAGTCAGGTTCTCATTTGACAGTTGTTACATACATAGTTCAACAAGATTAGTTACATTTTCACTACGGGTCAACATTCTCTTTCATTTCCTTCTGGTTGCTTTGGTTTCCAGGACTGAGTTTCTCTGTTCCCTTTGCCTCTCATCTTTGCTTTTGATTACTTGTTGACCTTTTGGTCTCATGTACATTTCTTTTTTGAAATGCAGCACTGTACTCTTAAGTAATATCCTTTATTTTGTGTGCCAATCTGTTACTTCACTGGAAGCTAACCTCAGAGGATAGTTTCAGGTCCAAGTTTAAAGAGTATGTCGGGGTGCTAGTCTCAGGGAGACCTCAAGTCTCAACTGTTCCAGTTAGTTGGACTTTTTAAGATTTTGAGTTCTTTTCTACATTTTTCTTCCATTCTGTCAGGGTCCCTTTATCATGGTGCTGATCAGAATGGTCTAATAGTGGGAGCTGGGCACCATCTAGCTCTTCTGGTGCTCCATAAGGTTTTCCATGCCTGATTTTTTGCAAGTAGATCACCTGGCTCTTCTTCTGAGATGCCTTGGGTAGACTTGAACCTCTAACCTTTCAGTTTGCAGCTAAGCCCATTAACTATTTGTACAACCAGAGTATCCAATGTTAAGCAAACATTTACTACATGACCCAGTCTTTCCACTACTAGGTATTTATCCAAGAAAAGTGAAACCATGGGCTCATATAAACACTTGTACACAAGTATTCATTAAGAGCCTTATTTATACTAACAGAAAGTTATATATAACCCAAATGTCTCTCAACAGATGAATGGATAACAAATTGTGGTGTTGCCATGTAATGGAATTTTCCCACTGCCATTGAGTTGATTCGAACTCATAGCAACCTGCATTGAGTTTCCAAGGCTATAAATCTTTATGGAGGTAACTTGCCTCATCTTCCTCTCACAGAGCAGCTGGTGGGTTTAGCACCACTGACCTTCCAGTTAGCAGCCAAATACCTTACCCACTATGCTACCAGAACTCCTTGTTGGAATGGAATACTACTCAGCAATGAAAATGAATGAACTACTGATAGAGCAACAGGGATGAATCTCAAAAGAATTCTGCTGAGTGGGAGCAACCACACTCAAAAGGCTACAAAAAAAAAGAGTACATACTGTATGGTGCCATTTATTATTTAAAAAAATCTAGAAAATGCAAATTGATCTATAGAGAAAGTTCAGCAGCTCTTGGTGGGGTGGGGAGAAGAATTACAAACGGGCAGAAGGAAACTTTTGGGAGTAATGGAGTATCATTTTCTTGATTGTGGTGATGTTTTCATGTGTGCATTCATATGTGAAAATTTATAATACCTCTGGGAAGATCAAAGTGAAACTCCTATTCCATTTTGCTCCCCTTTTCTCTCCCACCCCTCTTCACAGTGGTCCCTCCTGTCAGTAATTTGGTGTTTACCCTCCCATTTTCTTCTTTGCCTTCTCATATTCTTGATTAAGGTGCAAGTTGCATATAATGGGATGCACAAATAGGTATAATTCAATGAGTTTTGACTAATTCATACACTTTACCCCACCCCACCCCACCATGATATGAAACATTTCCATCATTCTAGACAGTTCCCTCACTCCCCTTTCCCCCAGCAACTCTCACCCTGCACTGCCAGAGGCAACCACCATTCTGATGTCTTTCACATCAATTAGTTTCTCCTGTTCTAGAATTTCGTGTAAGAGTTATCACACAGTGTTGTGTTTGGATTCTTCTCTGCAGCATAGTTCTCTCTCTTCATGAAAAAATTCACTTCCAGACACTACATACATGTGCTAAGGAGTAATATGTTCGCCATTTTGTATACAAGAGGTCCTACTGGGCCCCCAGTCTACCACTTGCTTTTTCACAAACAGTACGACTTGAGTATCACTCAGAGCCATACTTTCTAACTGCTGCATAACTACCCACAACACTAATACTCTGTTCAGTTTATAAATATGGCGGGCATTTAGATTTTTAACTTCCCCCCCTTGAAATATCACCCTGGTGAATATCTTTGAGCAGATGCTTTTGTGCCTGCCTGTGTTGGTTTCTCTGGAATCTATTAGAAGTGGACTTGCTGGGTCAAATAATAAACATTTGAAATGAATGAAAATATTCTAATTTCCACTAGCTGACCCGCAGGCATCCTTCCAATTCTTTAGCGATCCTGCTGACGTGTTCTCTCCCGGCACTAGAGGATTGCTAAGCAAGCCTGGGGCATTTGGAGAGTTTTTTGGGGGTGGGAGTACAGCTAATTCACTGATGATGTGTCTCTCTCCCGAAGCTGGTCTCCTGGATTAGTTTTCTGAGTTTCCTGAGGTGGAGTCCTGGGGTGGTACAAACAGTTGACTGGTTGCTAACGTAAAAGTTGGAGGTTCAAGTCTACCCAGAACTGCCTTAGAAGAGCTGAGTGGCAATCCACTTCCAAAAAAATCAGCCAGCACAGACCTGGCACGCACCGGGTGTTGTGAGTTGGAATCCACTAGCAACTGGTTTTACTGGGTTGAAGCAGAGGTTGGGGCTGGTTCGTTATTCCCTCTCCAAAACTTCTTTGGAAAAATGAAAGCTGCTGATACCCAATACATTAATTCCTTGGGGTGAGAGAAAGGAGGACCATAATGTCACCTTTTCATAAGCCAGCACAGTATTTTACCCTTGCTAAGGCTGTGGCCTTGGATGACTACTCTGGGTCTGTTACCACCTGTGGCAGGTCTAGGGCTGGAGTCAGACTGCATGCCTTCCACCAAATACTTGACGGGCCAAATTACAATAACGTGCCTCGTCAGAATAAGAGAGCCCCTGGGTGGTGCAAGCATTGGGCTAACCAGAGGGTAGTAAGTGAATTCACTCAAAAGTGCAGCAGAAGAAAGGCCTGGCAGTTTCCTTCTGAAAACCCGAGGGAGCACAGTTCTCCCGACACATGGAGTCACCACACATAGGAATGGATGCCACTGCAACTGGCTTGGTTTGGTTGTAATAATGCAGCCATTACAACAGCTGCGGCTCTAGGAAAGTTCCTGAGATTTCTCAGCCTCATTTTCCTCCTTTGAAAGGAGACCTTAAGGTTCCAATTGTGGAGAGGATTACAAGAGATGATAAAGCAAACTCTTCGCACTCAAGAAATCCTTATGTTCAGGCGTATGAGCTGAACATTCACCTGAGGTAGATACACTCCTTGGAGAGATCAATCCTGGGAGAAAGAAGGGCTATGTATGCACAGGGAGACAGCTCAAGGGGCAGGAGTGCATGGGAGGGAAGGACACAGGGAAGGGGTAACTATGGGGAGAAGAGGGAGAGAAGCTGTTGCATTGTGGGAAATTGCAATGTCATGAGACAGTGTATGTGAGCTGCTGTATGGAAAGTGAATTTGCTCTGTAAACTTTCACCCAAATCATAATAAAAATTGAAAAAAATGTCGTCACGTTTACGAGTATTATTATCTAAACACCGTCTTTAGGCTCAGAGAGGGTCCTTGGCTCATCTAAATTCACCCAGCAGCAGAACCAGAATGCTACTTGGGCCTACTACTCCTGATCCAAAGAGTAGTTGCGAAAGGGCGGTGCAGAAACTTACCAAGCGGAGGCCAAGCTCTGGAGCAGCACATTTCCAGGCCCCCGGCCCGGGGTCCGCAGGTGACTAGAGGAGGGTGGGGGGACTTGCGAGCC